TGGTAATCCCGACGAGCGGTGCAGCCGCACGTAGCACTACCCGTATGCTAATAAATTATTTTATTTGCTTTATAAACCATAAAATTGGCATGCCCCAGCCACGCCCCTTAAACCCGACCCACGCCCACGCCGGCAGCGCTTAAGTGCACACTTAGCCCGGCCCACACTGCGTATGATAAATGTTAAAAGCAATGCCGAGCCGGCAGAACTCGGCGTTCACTGGACCACAGAGCCAGCCTTTTTCGGTTCTCGCATTTCGGCAGTATGCTTTTCTTTTTTCCTATTTTTGTTTTTTTTTTTTTTGTTTTTAACTGGGGCTGGGAGTGGATTTGCCATGTCCCAGTTTCGCAGTTGTCCGAGGGCAGACAGCAACAGGTATGGGAATAAAAACGAGTGAGATAGGGCGGAAAAGGGGGAAGCGCTCAAATCGCACGGCGGTAACATAAAAATGCCCGTTAAATTGAGCTTGGCAGAGCAAAAACACACACACACACACACACAGTAGTGGTAGTTGCATATGCAATCGGCCTAGAATCGCAAAAGGGTTGAGAATTGGAAGCTGGGAGCTGGGAGCTGAGTGCCGGCGGACAATCATCGATTGAGGGCCTACAATGTGTTTGGGCATTAAGTCCATAGTTGATGCTTCAATCGCACATTTTATATGGCTCCAGCAGAGCGTTCAATAAAAAATTGGCCAAATTTATTATACCATCTATAGTATGAGCCATATATTTGCCGGGTTTTTTCGCGAATCGCGAGATTTTTTATGCAAACGAATAACCAGCGGTCTGCGCAAATAAAGAAATTACAATTATTAATTTGATATATAAATCCGATATAGGCACAATAAGTAATCGTCGAATTTTGCACTTTTTCATATGCAGACGAGGCAAGGTTTTTACCTCGAAACCATTTTTTTTGGCCCTATCCATCGGGAGTTTGACGGGCGAATAAGTGCTGATCTTTGCTGCAGTTGACTTTTTTGCGCATTTCTGGATTAAGTCAGGGCAGTATGGCGATTTTTTCTTAAATCATGTTGGCTATTATTATTAATTCGATTTGCATTTATTCGTGCTTCTCAAATTTATGGACTTTTAAACAAATTTTTTGTAGCAATCCATAATGTGGCACGAGTTATGACAGATATTTTTAAGTATTCTGTGCAAATTGCAATTCCATTCGGCAGGCTTTTAACCGAATGCAAATTAAAGCGGTAAAAACACGCTTGTAGTTTCAATAAAACATAAGCAAGATCGAAAACACGGATTGACATTATAGGGTATATATTGTTTTAGTTTGCGAGAATTCCATTGGAATGTTGGAAATGTTTCTATGCCCAGGCGAGTGGGGGCTTAATCAAGTTGCTCAAATGTCAGCGGGCATTAAGGCAGTTGCTCCTGCTCCCTGTCCACCTCCTGTCATGCCATCACTTTTGTTATCCTGGCAATTGACAACTTAACGATGCCTCGGCTGCTCTGCTCCTTGAATGGCATGCTCAAAACATTATCACGCACAGCGGGACAAGTCGTTGGATACCAGAATGTTGGCGGAGGAGTGGGCATGTCGGGTATATGTCGGCATGGTGTGTAAAAAAACCATAAAAATGCAAAAGACAAAGGACATGTGATTGCTGGGCGCCCCGTGTCCTTGCCCCGCCCATCTGAATATGTGTGTTTAATAAAAAAATTATGAGCTTCAATTACGCAGCGGCGGACGGAGGAGCGAGAGTCTGAGTCTGAGTCTGAGTTTGAGTTTGAGGCGCCGCAGCGAGTGCATAAAACGCTGAACAAATAACAGCAGCCGGGATAAGAGGGCCATGTGTGCCAGTGTTTGTGTTTGCATAACATAATTCTTTCTGGCAAAGTTGTAAACCCAAAACGAGGACGTGTCACGAGGGCGGGAGTGGGAGTGGGCTGGGTCCTCTCACTTTTTAGCTAAGTAAGCCGAGCTGGATGTGAGGCACTTTGGGATACCCACTAAATGTGGCAGCCAGTAAGAAGCTGCATAAAAGCTAAATATGCAATTATACTGTACCAAACATTTCTGAGTGCAAAGTAATTCAGACAAATACTTTAATTACCAAGAAAATAACTTGTTTCAAAAATGCAAATATAAATATAAATATGCACTATAAAATGAACTAATAAGCCTATGTAAAGAACAATACAAAATACTGGAATCTCCTTCACATATCTGCTGCTGGGTTATACCTTTGAGGGTGTGAGTGTGCCAAGAGGAGTGTGAGTGTGAGTGTGAGTGTGAGTGTTATGTCTGAGTGTGGGTGTGGGTGTGGGTGTGAGTGTGAGTGCGCGGTGGAGACGTGCATGTGAATGGCGGCCATAAATCAGCTGGCGACAGCCAAGGGCAGCCAGGATCATGGGGACGAGTGTGCGAGTGTGCGAGTGTGTCACCCCGGAGGACTGACGCTTCGCCTTTAATTGGCTGGCAGCCACCAAGGGCCTTGGGCAGCCCACACCAGCCACCCACCAGCCGCCCACCAGCCGCCCACAAGCCAAGCACCAGCAGCCTGCTCATCAGCATAATCGTCGGTGTAATCGTGGCGCAAAAATGTTCTCGCACCTGCAACACCTACGCTTCAAAATAGGAAAGTGCCACCGGCTCACGAATCATGGATGCCAAAAATGGCACTTAACACTTAGCAAATGTCGCTGCCATTTTGGGGCGGCCATTTTCCGCCGCTTCGTTTCGTTCCGCTTCCGTTTCCGTTTTCGTTTCTGCTTCCCATCGTTTCCTGTGCGCTTGGGTTTATTAGTTTTAAATGTAATTGTTTCATTCGAGTGTGCGAAAAGTGTATTTAGCTGTTTTCATTAGTGCTTCATTTAACTTATTTTTGTTTAAGAAAAAGTCGGATTGAAAGCCATAGAAACTTTAATATTGCATGGTAACGTTACATTTATTTTACTTATACGTTTGTGTAATGCGAATTTAGCTGTGTTCCTAATTATTTTCCCATATTTTGCTGTAATTAATATTATATATTATTATTACATTACTTATAATCTCACCTTTTTGCGCATTTCTCGGGTGCTTGCGAAACGCTAGCGATACTGGCTAATCTGCCGACAGCCGGCGCGCTGTCATGTCTGTTGCAAGTTGCACGTTGCACGTTGCGTTGCACATCGCAGCTTGCAGGTGTCTGGTTGCAGAGTTCCGGGCTTGGGTTGCAGGTTGCTGATTCCTGGCTGTTGGCAGCACGTTGCAAGTGGCACGGTGGTATTTCGTAGACGTCCAGTTAGCAGGATGTGCGCCAGTTATTTTTCCATGGATGGGCGAATGTGTGTGTGCGCCTGCAGCTGGAGCTGTGAAACTTATCTGTATGTGGCCAGCCCCAATTTGCTACTTGGCGGCATTTATCGGTGGAGACACCAGTTCCCAGTTGCCAGCTGCCAGTTGCCAGTTGCCAGTGGCCAGTGGCCGGTTGCCCCGATCCAGCCAATACTCGCAGCAAAGAGTACAGCATGTTACATAAACTGCTTACAGAACAACAAACAAGCTACTGGGCATATAATATGGGCGTTTATCATTTAATTAATTGCCTTTCGTTGCCATTTTCATTAAGTAATTTTCGCCTTTCGCTGTTGTTTGCTCTTCCCCGCCATTCTTCTTCCTTCGACTTTTTTTTTTTTTTCGTCCTTTCTTTCTTTGTTGCACTTGCCTGGAAGCGAAAAGCTGTGGGAAAATTCACGAGAGGCGAGGCAACAGCTGTGGCATGTAGCCAGCTTGTATGTGTACTTATTGGAGTTGCACAGAGAGAAATAGTTTGCAGTTTCATACATCTTAAGCGGTTACTAATTCATGTTACTCGATATCATTTTTGTAGAACAACGCCTTTGACTAATGAGGCTATGTACACATACTTAACTATTTGAAATAATATATCCATTTGCTTGGCAAAGTTAATTTTGGCTAGTGCTTCCAACATGAATGCTTTAAAAGTTTATATTTACCATTGATTTTAGAAATGAACATGGAAATACTATGAATGCTTTTCGGTGTGTTATTTCTTTTGTGTATGTTTACACATATAGTGTGTGTACATGTGTGTAGGTCCTGCAGAGTCCTGCTCAAGTGTGTGTGTGTGTGTGTGTTTGGAAGTTGGGAGTGTGTAGAGCAGGGGAGCCGGCTTTCGATCGGCTCCAAATTGCCACTCGTTGTAAAGTGGCAATTAACGCCACATGACGCTGTCAACAAATGGCCCTGGCTAGGCATTACACACCCACACCCACAGCCAAACACACACACACGCACACGTCTGCACACACGTATTGATATGTGGAACACTTACAACACTTGTTAAGTGCATTTTTCAATGCCCCCTGGCAGCTTTTTTGTTTGGAGCTCAAGAAGTCAGGAGAAGTAGGGAGAGCTCTGGGGGCCTCGAATGTACTAATTTTTAAATTATTACCTGAGACACGACAGCGACACGAATGCATTTCTCAGAAAAATGTACAGGTGCAAGAAACTTGGGAAGGAATGAAATCCGATAACAAAGCCATTTTCCAGCCCTTCCACAGCCACGCCCACCTGTCATTTCGAGTCATCGGAAGGCTGGGATTCTCGGGTGCAAAATTGTAAGTTGGCAAAAACTAGCTTTGTAATTTTGGACATAAGCCCGTGGGGGCTGTCAGGTGATTTAGCAGGTCGTAACTACTATTATTATGTTACGCAAAACCTTGGCTGGCTTACTAGCAATTCGAAAAATAAGTAAGTGGTTCTTGCTGTTCTACTATTACTACTCCCAATTTGGAAAATAAAACATATGGTTTTCATGTGAAAATGCGCAGCACGCAGCTCTTTAAGTCACTTCAAATATACTTTAATGTGATCAATAGATGGGAATGGGTGAAATCACGAAACAATGCACAGCATTCCAGTTGGAATATTGGCCAATATTGGGGAACCACCTTCCAGGGCTTCCCTGCTTGCCATTTTCCTACCTGAAGACCCCACTAAATGCTGTTTTTCCCGACATTTTGCAGGCTCCACGGACGCCGCCTCGAAGCGCTTCTTCACGGACTTCCTGCAGGACCTGCCGACGCCCGGAACCGGAGGACCCACTTTCGACACGACCATTGGCACGAACATCACAGGACTCGTGGGCAAGACGGTGAAGCTGACCTGCCGCGTCAAGAATTTGGGCAATCGCACGGTGAGTACGCACCAAAATGCTGGGCGTGGGGATGGGGATGCGGCAAGTGGAAGCTGTGCATAATAATTTCAAAGTACTTGACCAAAAAACGAATGAGAGTATAAAAACGTGAAAGTTTCGCAGCGCAAACTTGTCAAAAGGCGTTACGCTTGACAGGGCGGCGAGTGCTGCTGTTGCAGTGGCAGTTGCAGCGGCAGCTGCATCTATACCATGCCACGCCCCCCAAACGAAACGCCCCCTTTCTGGGGAGGGGCTGGCTGAGGAGGGCAGCTGTCGCCTGTCGTTTTTGGTTGCGGATTTTAGCCCGGCCCTCCGGGCTCCAAGTGAAAAGTTGTAAGCTGCTGCCGTACACCGCCCGCTTTTCATTATGAAAATGCAGCTGGGAAATGCAGTTGCATTTGCTGCGCTGTTGCTGCTGTTGCTGTTGCTGTTGCTGTTGCTGTTGCAGCTGTTAAACAATTAGCAAATTAAACTTTGAACTTTCAACTCTGGCAGCCGGCGAGCGAAATCAGAAAAACAATGCGAGTAACAAAGCCGTGGCGAATGTTCTTCTGTTTCGCTCCGTTCAGTTCATTTTAGTTGAATTTAGTTTCTCGGTGCTGGCACAACGCTGCGTATGAGTGACGTGGATGCCGTGGATGCCGTGGATGCCGCGAATGATTCCCCCCCCCGCCTTTTAGCAAGTTTCCTCCTCAAGTGTCGCGCGGCCATAAAACTTTCAAAATTTTTACGCTCCGCTGGCTTATTAGGTGAGTGGCGAGTCCAGCAAGTTTGAGTCCCGCCCCTCCGCTCCGCTCACCTCACCTCACCTCCTAAAAGCCCCAAAATCAGAAAAAAAAAAAAGGAAAAATATACAAAACAAAAAAACAAAGTTTTCGCCGCTCGCTTCCCATTTTAATTTCAGCTTGACAAAGTGAATGAATGACTTGAAGCCCGAGTTTCGCTCACAGCTCTCCTATTTCATTTTCATTTTGGATAGGAAACAAGCTCCTAGTTGCAAAACTCCAACTGATTGGGGTTTTTCGTCAAACGGCGGTTATGAACGCGTCCAACTAATTACAAGGCTTCTGCAAACAACCGCTAATTAAGTGCGCTTTCCACGGGATATCAATTATTTCTCCGAAAAACTATCTGCTGCTGTCGGGGCTGTTTTTCATATATCTCCCTTACATAGTTGTTGCTCAAACTTGCTGGGTATTATTTTCACTAAAAAGCGACTGAAAGGCATGATGATTAGTTACTTAATGTATTATTGTGTTAAAATTTCAGTCAGCGTCTTTTTTCATCAAGTTGTCGGTCTTTTTTCCAAACAAATGTGTGCTTTTGTTTAAACAACAAAAGACGTTAAAAAACAATGGTTAGGAAACATAATATTTTGACTCGGAAAATTTAATCATGTTACCCATCATACAAAAAATGGAAATAATGGAATAATGAAAATAAATGGAAATAAGCCATACCTTTCTGAGCTCCTTATTAAATTTCCATTTAATTAGGATTTCTTTTTTTCGAAATTGATCAAATTCCAAAAAATAATTTACCCTAAGCTTCTAAAAATGAGAAGGTATCTCTTCTTTTGGTAATTTGCTGCACAAACCTGTTATTATTTTGACTGTGTATCAGTTTTTAGCCAAGTGATCTTTGATATCAAATTTTGGCAAGCGCGTTTTTCGCTGTTTGGTCTAAAAATGTCAGCTTTTCTGCCATAAAAATTAAAATAATGGGCCAAAAATGGAATGCCCAATCCATCTAGATACCAAAAAATATCCCAAAAATGCCAAAAGAGTATAATTTTCTTAGGCCAAGACTGAAATGGATCATTCGAATTCTTTATAGCTGTACAAAAGCGATATATCTGAATTCGTGCAGTCCACAAAGAGTTGAATTGATTACCCCTTCATTAAATCAAAATATCCCTCCCATTACTAGCAATATTTACTCTTACAAGTAGTTTATGCTACCTGACTGGCATAAATCCCGATTTCATGGGGGACCCGATATTTTGCCTCCCCAAATTTTCGCATATATATAATACATAGCCGGCCAAACTCCCAACGTGATGCATGCATTTGTGCGTTGGTCATCGAAGCTGATGAGCTAGCTAAATACTGTGTAATTAATCACCAGCCGAACAGCCAGCCATTTATTACTCGCCTTGGATATCAGTTGATTTCCTCCCAGACGCCTAATTACTCAGAAGATGTTAGTTCATGAATTATACCAGCCACAGAGTGTGCAAGTTTCATTTTCTGAGAGCTCTGCAGCTTGCAACTTGCAGCTTGCAACTTGCAGCTTGCACATGTCCCTTAATGGCAACAGTTTTCCATGCGATTTAACAATTTTCGAGCGCGTTTTTATGCCAAACAATAAATGGCGCCATCAAGTATGCAGCCGATGAGAAAGCTTCGCTTCAAACAATTTATTCAGCTTCTTGAGTTTCGGTGGCAAAGTAAGATACGAATATGTAGCTTGTGTTCTGTTGAGTTGAGAAATTCTATTATTACTCACTTATTACAACTCAAGTTTGAAGCACAACCGCACTAAGTTGTGCCAATTAACGTGTGTACTCCGCCTGTTACCAAGGGAAATCGGCACATTTTCCGCGCATCCTTTGTAGTAGGCCAATTTCCTGCGAGGCTCAGAATGGCGAATGCCAGGGAAATCAAGTGACATTAAAATTTCCCTTTGAAATTCATTAGCAAACGCGATTTGGCGACTGCCGAGTGTTTATTAACAAAGCCTTCACTTAACTTTGTGTGGCTTGCTTTTTGATGGGTGGTGTCGGTTGGCTGGGTGGTTGGGTGGCTGGGTGGGTTGGTCCCCACTGAAGAAGCATGTCATTTGCGGTCCTCGAGAGGCGGCGACCACAAGTCAGGGCTTCCTTGACACCGCAGAATGGCAATGGCTGCAGATGGGGAATTACACGGGTGGCACGGGGGAGGGGAAACGCAGATGGGGTCTTTAATGGGTGCTCCAAATTCGCAATGCATGTAGTTCATTAGTGTGTAATTGTGTGTGTGTGTGGGTGTGTGTGTCCTGTATGTGTGTGCCTGAATTGCGCATAGATTTGCATCAATTGAATTGTCAATGCCCTGAGCAATGACCGCAGCCACAGAAGGAACAACGACAACGACAACGACAACGACAACGACATCGTGACCATGATGACTGAGGAGCCCAAGTGGACAGGTACAGTGGCCCAAGCCACAGCACTAACAAGTTTCCCTCGAAATGTTCGTTTTTCAAGTTGCAAATATGGCAATTAAGAGCGGCATTGTACAAATATTAGAAGAAATATATTGATTTGTGCGCAATGGCAATTAAAACCAGAACTACTGCTATTATACATTTGTGTCTTAGCTCTGCTTTCACTTTTCGCAGTATTCTTATGCTTAGCATACTTTTTAGCTTGACTCCACTGTACTTTTTGGTGGGTGGTGGTTGCACAGTGAGCCCCGTTCATTTCTGGCCAACTGCAATTGAAATTGTTGCGGTTGATTTTACAAGTAAATTGTCACTGCCAGTTGTAACACAACCCAGTTCCACTTTCCACTCTCCACTCTCCACTTTCCACCAACCGAAAAGCCCCTGCCCTTTGGCCCCGAAACAATTGAAAATGCAATTTAGCGTGTGAGGTTTCGCTGCGCCTCGTCCTTTTCCGTTTGGTTTCCGTTGTTCCGCTGGGTCCTTGGATCCTTTTTTCTCACTTTTCCCGCTTGGCACCCTCTATCCAATCTTTGGCCTTTTGTTTTCCGAATGGACACCGCAGAGGTTCCATCACCTGCACCCTCCAATTTCCCCGCTTTCCTCTGAGGTGGCAGGCACAGCTATTCTGATGCGTTTTCGTTTCGCTTTCATGTGTGGAAAACAGGACTAACTGGAGGCACAGGAAAAAATGCGCTCTTTTCGTGACTTTTGAACATTTTTTTATTGGAAAAAAAAACAATTAATTCGTAGCTATAGTCAGCAGAGCTGTCATAATCTGCAAATCTCTGGCAGACCAAAAATGGTCCCTGAACTGTGAACTCGCATGTTATAAGTGGTATTTTCCTAAAAATAGCTTCAAATATTTCATAGTACCCCTTAAATATTTAAACATTTTTTTCTGTGCCTTTTTCTTTCCCCCCGGAAAAAGTTGTCTTCCTTTTTGCACGTTTTACAACGTTTTTTCGCCAAAGTCAAAGCCGTTCTCCACGCACAGAAAAAAAATTTAAAAATTGCGTTTATACATTTCGTTCCTTCTTTTTAGCCAGCTGTATGTTTGTGCTGGCGATTGCCACGCCCACTCGCTTTTTGCCTGCCTTGACTGACTGTCTGTTTGTTCAACGGCACAGGACCAAAAGCAGCTCCATGAGCCACAGAATCCTAAAGAGAAATAAAGAAGAACTTTCCGCTTTTCCTCGAAGAAAAAAACTAAACAGTGTCAACCCAATGACCCCGCTTTCCAGTCTGCCCGCCAAAAAATTACCATCCCCTCTCTTTGTGCCAAAAAGGGAATTCGTAGTGTATCCAGTAAATTAGTTGTAATATTCGCAGAGAGGAAAACCCTGGGCACTCATTAGAAAATCTCTTTCCTGGGCGAGAGTTTTCCAAGAGGAAGTCGCATTAGACACATCGATTGCCACGCCCATTCGGCCCATCTGATATCAAAGTGTATGCTTACATAGCGAAAGGAAATCGCAATCTCCTGCTGTTGTAAGCGTGTGTTGTCATCGCTTTATACGAGGGCGCAAGTAGGCGTGGCGCCTGCTGGCTAAAAAGCAAATCAATCAAAGAAACGTTTAATATTTTTCGCTATCCGCTTCACGGAGCGCGCTGACATAAAATCCATCCGAGGGGCGCCATTCGAACTGAACTGGGAAAGTCAAAAGTAGAGAGTCGAAAAGCTGAGCGACTGCCATGGCAGCCGGGAAAACAATCGTCTGCCTTTGTGTCAGCTGTCAATTTTCCAGCATTTACTTAGCTGCCAGGGCAACGCGGTGAAAATGTCGTGGAAAATG